TTCCCCAATAAAATCTTTACAAAAAAAAGAAAAGGTGAACTGGAAATTGTATTCAGACCTCTAAGCGCCTGGATAGAGGTCCTGTGCAGAGCCAAGGGAGGGCCAAGGAAAGACCCCCACCCCAGCCTCGGGACTCCAGGGCCTAAGAGCCAAGAACCTGAGGGCAGGCAGGGGTAATCGCAGAAAAAATCTCAGACAGCCCTGTGCAGGATCCACAACTACAGAGCCAAAAGGACTCAGAACACAAAGGACAACAACCAAAGAGTAATTAAAGTGGGAAAAAGAGTTCAGCTTTGACAATTCCAAGGAGAAACACTTACAAAATAAAAATATAAGCCAAATAATTTTTCTTACATACCAGCACTAACCAGTCAAAAAATAATGGAAAAGAGTCCCATTCAAAATAGCAAAAAAATATATATGCGTCAAGCAATAGGATTTGCATAAAACTAAAACATCTCCAAGGGAAATAAAAGAAGAGGTAGATTAACAAAGTCATAATGATAATTAGGAAAAGTTTCCAATCAGAAAGATGTCAATTTTTCTAAAAATAATAAATTTAAGACAATGTCAATTGAGTACCAATGGCTTTTTTTGGTATAACTTTCCCAAATGATCCAGGCACATGTGAACCCAGTAGTCTGAGGAACAGCAGGGTGGACCATGTGACCAGAGGACTCACAGTGACCTGGGAAGCCAAAGAGGCTTGGGTGTAGACATAGTCATCTTCTCAATCATATGTATGGTATACGCTGTAAGCAGGGAAACAAGTGCGGAGGTCCTCACAGTGGTCCTGGCCAGTGATGAAGGTGACCTGGAACAATGTGGGTGCAACGGAGGTGATGAGAAGGAATGGATTTGCGACATGCTGAAAGTCAACCTAACTGTTCAACAGATGGGATGTGTACAGTGAGAGAAAGAGAGGAATCTAGGAGGACTCCTGGGTTTTAGGGCTAAACAACTAGAAGAATAACGTTACCACCAACTGAGCTGCAGAAGGTTGTAGGTCAAGTCAGTATTGGGGAAGACCAGTTCAGTTTTGCACATGGCGACTTTGAGGTGCCTATGAGCATCCACATGGAAATGCTGGATAAGCTAGTCTGGAGTTTAGGAAAACTGAGTTGGAGATAAAAACTGGAGAATCATCAGCATTTAGATAGTGTCTAAGTCATGATACAAAAAGAGAGAAATCATCAAGAAAATGAGTACAATAGGAATGAGCCCAAGAAGATAACAGNACTTTGAGGTGCCTATGAGCATCCACATGGAAATGCTGGATAAGCTAGTCTGGAGTTTAGGAAAACTGAGTTGGAGATAAAAACTGGAGAATCATCAGCATTTAGATAGTGTCTAAGTCATGATACAAAAAGAGAGAAATCATCAAGAAAATGAGTATAATAGGAATGAGCCCAAGAAGATGACAGTGAATCAACAAAGAGACAGAGGAGTGGCCATGCAGGTAGGAAGAAAATCAGATAGATGCCACGAGAAGGTAGCTCTTCAAAGAGGAGGGAATCAGCAGAGTCAAAATCTATTCATGGATCAAGAAAGATGAGGACCAAAAACAGAATATTGGACTTAGTATAAAGGTCCCTGGTGACCTTGACAAAAGTACTTTTGTTGGAGTTGTGAGGCAAAAACCAGACTGAAATGGGTTTAGCAATTAGAGAAGAGGAACTAGAGACAATAACAAAAGAAAGAAAAAAAATACCTTTTTCACGGAGTTTTGATGTAAGGGGGTACAAAGACATGAAGCACAGGAATTCATATGGGAAGTGGAATAGAGAGAAGTTTGTATTGTATTTTTAAGGTGAAAATACAACATTTATGCTTTTGTTGCTGATGAGAATAATCCAATGTAGAACAAAAACTGATGTTGAAGGAAAAAGAAAGAAGAATAGTTGAAGCGAGTCTGTGGATGGGCAAGAGGGGATGGGATGGGGTCCAGTACACAAACAGGAGGTGGGGTCAGGCAGAAGCACGGTCCATCCTTGTTGGAAACAAGCTGGGCAGCCACAGATGTAGCAGCAGGTGCCAGTGGTAGGTAGAGATGGTGGAGGGCACCTGGTGAAGTCCTCTTCTGGTGGTTTCAGGTTCTCAGTAAAGTAGGAAGCCAGGTCATCCACTGAGGGTGGGAGTTTAAGAAGAGAGGAGAGGTACAAAATAGTCACCTGGCAGAGCGGATGAGTGTAAGACAAGCGTGTAAGTAGGGACTGGCTCATCTAGGAGCAGAAAAAGACTTCAGGCATAAAGCAGAAGGAAGAATCCTCGAGGGAAAAGACTAATGGACAAGGCTACTGACAACAAACATGCCCTTAGTCAAAATCAATAAACAGACTTCCCCTTCTTTTAGGGAAGTATTTTTCCCTACTCCTCCTGCTAAGTACAAAAC